GCCCAGGGCAGAGCTCCCCGCCTCCCCTGCCGTGCACAGGTGGTTGGCGGGCCCCGGCGGGAGCCCCCCGGCGAAAGGCACTGCAGAAATGTCACAGGCGGTGCGGGGTGCGGATGCGAGGGGATGGGCTGGGGAGATGAGGTGAGGGTCGCTGGTCGCTTTAGCTTGTGGGGGGCTGCGCCCGTGCGCCCGGTGCTGCCCGTTGGCACGGACATGCTCTCAGACCGGACACAGGTGGGTCAGAGTTAAGCTCCCCGCAGCAGCGAGAGGCAGGGAGGGCGGCTGCACTGCTGCTGAGCCAGCAAGAGAGCTAAGAGACTGCAGGACACGCGCAAACATCACCCTCGCAGGAGGACAGGGTGCCCAGCCTGCCCCGTGCCATCCTGCTGCCCCCATGGATGCTCCAGGTGGGGAAAATCCTGCGCCTTGTGCTCTGTCCTGCTTCCCTTTGGGAAGGGTGAAATAGCCTGGCGCAGGGGCTCAGAGCAATGCTCAACACCACCGTGGGTGTGTTGGGGCTCTGGGCTCGTTACAGGCACTCAAAATATACTGGGGCCAGCTTACGGGACAGCAGGAGGGTCAGAGAGGTGACACAGGAGGACCAGTGCTGCCTGTGGGCCAGGACAAGCACTCAGCAGATGCAGCACGTAATTCCCTGTGGCAGTACACTGCGTCCCTGATTCCAGGTACCGGTGAGGGAGGGAGGAGGGACAGACAGCCTGGATCCCCTCGTCCCAGCGCTACGCCTGGAAAGGGGCACTGCTGGTTCAAGTCCCAGCAATGCGGTGGCTGTGAAGGGAGAAAAAGCCCCTCTCCAAGGCACTGGAGGGCTCTTCTGGGAAGAGTGTGCAGGTTTTAGACCTGGGTCACATCTCAGTGACTTTGTGGGATGGAACCTGCCTTACACGGCTCTCAGGGACAACAGAATCACCCTCCTGGTTAAAAGAGCCCCTTCTCCTGTCATGACAGGGCACTGAGGATGCTCAGCTGCATTGGGTTCTCCAGGTGCAGGCAGGTCTTTGGGGACTGCCCATCCCTCTCTCATCCCTTACTGGTAGCACAGTGGTCCCTAAGTCACCCCTGTCCCTGAGGCTGGAAAGAGTCTATATCTTTCCTAGCCTGCACCAACATCACTGCTGCTCCAGTGATCAAGAGCAAAAATGCTCCATGAGCTGAACTTCGCTGGGGCTGTACTCCTTTCTGCCAGTGTGGCTAATCTCAGAGGCCAGGTGCTTCACTGCCTAAATGCACCTGCAAGCAGTGAGATTAGTAGTGAGGGCTGCTGAGCAGCCAAAGGAAGGAAGATGAATGGAAATGTAGAAAAGGGGACTGGGATCGAGAAGAGATGTCAAGAAGGACAAGGGGATATGGCCAAGAGAGAGCAAAAAACCATGCATCTGAACACGAGCTCTATGGCTTCCAGCCCTGACGCTGAATGCATGCACCCTCACAGCTTCTATCTCCTCCAAGGTATTGGAAAACTCCCATCTTGGCTTCTGTCACTGACTGACCCTGAAAAAATATTTCTCTGGTAGGAAACACCCCATCCTCTAACATGAATTGCCCCAAGAGTCCAGGATGGCAGACAGACATGACCTTCCTCGCCTGTTCTTGTCTGGGTAGAGAGAGGGAGGAAACCTTAAGCTAGGTTTGGTGAAGACAGAGAGGAGGAAGCCCTGTAGTTGCCTACAAGGCACTGCCACCCTGCTCCACCCTTGCAAGGGCTCCACAACACCTGACAGTTGCTGGGTTGCCTGCAGCAGGTACTCAGCTACATGCTGGCACATGCAGCACAGTTTCCTGAACACAGCCCAGCTGACCTGCACCCACGCCTGCTGCCCTGGGGAGTAAAACCTGGCGTAAAGTGCCAGACGCTGAAGACTAATCCAGCCGACAGGCTGACTCTGGAGGCCTCCACGTCCTTGGGCTCGAGCCACCAGAGTGTCCACCATGCTAGGGCAGTCCATCGCAGAAGAGGAGGAGGGAGGTAAGTCACACCAGCAGGCCTTGGCAGAGCGTAGCGTGGAATGGCAATGGGTGGCATGCAGGCAGGTCGTATGGCACGAGGTTGAGGAGGAGAGATGGAAGCAAAGAGTGACCTGGACGGATGGGGGACATCAGACTCATGATGTCAGAGGCACAACTTGTTATGATCCTTGTTTTCCTTTCATCATCAGAGACAAAATAAAATGAAACTATATGCATATGAGATTAAATTAAAAGTTTTGTTTACATTAAAAAGAACCATCTAATAGTAGTACTAATAATATCAAATGAACAATAATAATAAAACAAAACAGGAAAGAAGAAAGCCCTGGAGAATTCCTGCCTGGATGGTGCTCACTGATGGAAGGTTTGTGTGACCACTTTTACTGTTTAGGGATCATTCCCTTGATAGCTGACTCCCGGTTTACATATGTGGCCCAGTAGACTAAGTTGAAAATGGCAAAGAGGACTGGAAAGACGATGCGGGACATCTTGTCTACCTTGCTGACACTGTTGTATGTCTTCTTACTCTCCGGGAGCTTCTCCTCTATGCGGGGCATCTTGGGGGGCACGTTGGTGGCAGTAGCAGTGGCAGCAGCACTCTTGGAGATGGTGGGCAGGCCAGGGTCCTTAGCAATGTTGAGGGCATATGTGGTGCCAACGATGTTGTAGGTGTTGTTGGTTTTCTTTGCTAATGCCACTGGCTCTTTTTTCTAGGGAAGGTGGAAGAAAAAACATAAGAGATGAGGTGACGGCAGAACTGCGTCGAAAACATTTTGTCTCCTGAGTTTACCTGCCTGTCTGGATGAGAAGAAGGAGAAGGGTGCAAGGAGCAAAAGCCCAAGAAGCCATTGTGGAAGGGAAGGAAGATGAGCTGAGAAGATGGCCAGAACCCATGACATTGCTGCCACGTGTGGGCTGCTGGAGCAGAGGGACGTGGTGGGCTAGGATGTCCCCATTACACCAGCTAATCCATGCAGGCCTGGTACGCAGCACTTAGCATAAAGTGGTCCTGGCCTGGCAGCGAGGTGCTAAGCCCTGCCATAAGTGAAATAACTGAAGTCAGCTAGCCTCATTGTGACCACTTAGATCAGACCAGTGGCATGGAGCTGCCAGTGCAGCAGCTGCCCAAGTTGGGTGACTCCTCGCCTGGCGGATTGCAGGCATAGCCAGGTCTATGCTGGTACATTGCAAGGCCAGTGTAAGTGAAAGCAGGCTCAAGAGATATACACACTCCTTGGGCTCTCTCAATTGGACAAAGTGTTATGCTGTTGCACATAAGGTTCTGACATGGGGAGCCGATGCAGGCATGTAGTCTTTAGAGAAGAATGAGACCCAGTGTGGTCAGCCTGGGGGAAGAACTTGATTTTCTGCTTAGCCCACCTGCTTCCTGGATCACATGAGAGTGGGACACAACACAGAGGATCATATTTCTTTTTCTTTTTTTTTTTGGTAGGAGAAAGACAGTAGCCTTAAGAACGTGGGTAACAACTTTATAATATTTTTGGACCATGATATTATGAGACAATATCTTACCCTGCCTTAGTGCTCTGAATACCTCATATAGTGATGCACAACATAACATCACAACAACCACAATGCCTCTGGGCCCCTTTAGAGCATCTCATGACCTACCTAGGTAAGATACAGAATGGACTGAGGACATTTCCACTAGCTCTGGATGTCAGGATTGCTCAACATGGCATTTTAGGAGAAAGGGAAGCTTTTCATCCTTTGTATCTAAGGGTTGCTTCAAATAAAGGGAGGTAATGCACACTTCCCACAGGGCTCCCGGGACAACCATGCTGTCCATGCTGAAGGGAAGAGAGCTTGTATAGCAATTGGAAAAGATGTACTAGTTATGCATTAGACGTGAGGTACTGACAGAAGATGGAGGTTGCTTAAGATAGATGGTTCAGGTGTTAATGAAGGTGAGTGGACAGGAAGACGGGGGCTAGGAAGTCATAATAGATGTTGCTTCCGCTCTGGGGATCTTTCTGGTGCTGTCAGGAACTTGAGACTAGCTGCTATATTGTATAAAGCAATCCAGGTCTACTGAGAGAGGCCCATCAAATCAAATCTATTTATACGTAGACAACAGGCACCCTATACGTCCCAGCATCTGTGTACTCCAAGCTGTGTCTATGGCAATTACCTTGCCAAGAGCCAGAGTTAGACACAGCGATGACTCATGGTGGGAATCTAAAACCTGAACTCAGAACAAGGTGTAACTTTGGATCTCATTTTCTATTCAAAACCAACCGAAACACAAGTTAAAACACGGCCAGGCATCTTCCAGGGGTGCTTTACATGGTTTTGCATGTATAAGAACGTACAGGGTAAGAGTGCCGCCAGCTCCCTGGGGATGTCTGACCCAACCTAATCTGCTCCCGGTGCCGCAGGAGCCTGGTGCCCTGGCAAAGGTGGCAGCTCAGTGCAACCTCTGAGTGAGCCATCCCGCTAGCTGGGGCCTGGCTGAAGTCTGCTAGATGAAGCACATCACAGGCTGCCTGCAGAGGGAACGACGTGCCAAGCGATGCTTCAGCCAGGAGAAGGGGAGAGTGAGCAGCCAGCAGGATCTGGCCATCCCACTCCCTCACCTGGGAATTAGTTGCAGGAAGTATCTCTGGGTAGCGCTGAGAGCCGGAAAGCCCAATTCATCCAGTCTGCCCTGCAGAGTTACTTCAGGGCTTTAGTTTTCATGCTGTACTTCCATTTTAAATGTGTCTGCAATCACCATGGATATTTCTGGTTGCCTTAGGAAATGAGTTTTCCGCAGTGGGGCACTAAAAACAACTTTTGTGCAATCTTTAAAACCCTGTCCAATAACCTCATTGCTAGGCCTGCAGTCTCATTATAATTCCAGCAATTACAGAAATTAACCTGCTGTTAGAAGGAGGTTGAAATGTCTTTAAACTCCAGATCAGACTAAACCATTGATCACACCATATTCACAGTCTTTTACGGGCAAAGCAGGAAGGGTTGTTATGCTCTTCAACGATTAACTGAGTGACTGATTTCTGCAGTCATTAGAGCCATGTTAACTTCTACCCCCTGCACAGAAGGTGAACTTTTCCTGCTAAATAGCTAACAAGAAGCAAATAAAGGACTAAAAATGTTTCACCTTCTAAAGCATTTAAGTTTGCTTAAGTATGATTACTTATTAACATAGCTACAGCAGACAATAAAATAATTAATAATTGGTAATGAAATGAAAAATAGATTGTTTGCTGTTTGCAGAATGTAATTCGAAGTGCGCTATGATAATTTTAGTATTAATCAGCCACATTACATGAATAAGATGACTACGAGTGACATGACATTTTCAACCTGGCTAGCTTTTCTGCCCTAAAGCTTGGAACGTGACTCTGTCCTGCTGGGCCAAAGGCATTTGACAACAGAAGATTGAAATGGGGAAAAGTCATGCAAATGTGAACGCCGTGTGTGGCTGTAGCAAGCCAATGCTCCTCTTAGTGTGATTCAGAGTCTGAGCATCAGCTTGGGCTTCTCTGGAAGTAGTGCACAGCTTTGGGAGGCTAGAGCCAAGGACCTTTTCCAGCTGCCTACAGATGTTTTCTGCTCTGTTCAGAGCGGGAAGCCTGGGTAGCCTTTTGAAAGCATTCAGAGGACCCCGCGCCTACCAAGGCACATATGTGCAAGGAAATAAGCTCCTGAAACATCAGAAGAAATGGTTTGGCCTGAAGTTGACTGGGGTGTGCTTTATAAATGAAATGTTTTGGGCAAGATTGCAACAATCAAAGGAAAACATGTTTACTGCTTTCAGCTATGAAGTAGCCCTCAGCCTTCCCCTAGCAGTTTACCTGGGAGGTGCTCAACTTCCTACTGAAACAGAAGGAAAGAGCAGAAAATCAGGAGGAAATCTCCCATTTACATTCAAAACTTGTCCCATTTAAAACACGGTTATGTTGAATAGCACGTCCTGCGTTTATGGCCCATTTTGGGCCCAGGGAGACCAAGCCACTGCACAAAGCTTCTTCCTGCGGTGCTCTCCGGGGGGAGAAGCTGTGAAAGCTGGTCTAGAGATGCATATGTTCCCTGGATGACGTAGGTCTGACACAAGTCCTTCTACAAACACACAAACTGAGGTACAATAGCATTTTTGTTGACTCTTTTTGTCTTCAAGGCTCTCTGTTGAGGAGCTAAAGCCTGAACATCTAAAGCTACGGGACCTACTGGGTCTGCTTATGATCTATTGGAGATTTCTCTCTTTGCGCCTGTTCCCTGGCCAGAAAAGAAGGCTGGAAGCACTTTCTCTCTGACAGGGCACTCTGAGGGTCACCATCGCTAATACATGAAATACCTGTGGGTCATGGGTTGTACTGAGAAATGCAAGGTATCTGCCACTTGACATTCTTTAAAGTGACCTCAACATCCTCTAAGCAGCTCTATTCTCTGACATACTTTTGTCCTATAATTCAAAACCCAGCAACTGCAGTTGCTGTTCTAGCAAACATGTCATTCCTTCCTTGTGCCAACCAAAGTTATCGTCTGCAGCATGCCAGAGGCTTGGTCCTATCAAAGAAGAATGAAGTGTTTTACACTGAGATGCATGTACCTGGAGCAGAGCCAAGGGCTCAGAACAATGCAATCTTGCATTAACAAGCCAGCTGCATCAATGCCAGATTACTGTCACTGCTAGTGTGACCTTTGGCATCCCCCATCCCTTCCATCTTTTCTTCTTTCTGGTTATGTGAAACTCAGCCCAATGATCTGATGCTCCCTGTATCTCCAGAGGAAGACTTAGAGGTTGGATGGAGTCAGTAATAAGCCCAAGGCACCATACTGCAAGGGTTGAAAGAAAGAGGATGAAATGTATCAAAGAACGATACAGGGGGTCTAGTGAGAATGCTGAGAATATAAATCACTTGGAGTGCTATGAGGAGCCACAGGTGATGGCAAGTAC